CACACAACTTTACAGTCTTATAAATTTGACTTTTTAAACAGCTTATATTTACATCTTTAAAATATTGTAAATATGGATGTAGGTGTGCTTAATAGTATATTAATTATAGTTGGTTATAATAGTAAGATCACTGTATATTTTGAACTTCTCTTAGCAGTGTCCATTAAAGTACTGCACATGCTATAGATTTTTATTTTGGTACATCAGCCCATCTGTCAGCAGCATGTGAAGTGCAATGGAAAGTAAAATACTGCTGCATTTATGTGGATAAACAGCATTAGGTATTTCTGTAGGGGATATTTGGGTGTGTATATAGAACTGCTCACCAATCATTGAAAAATACTGCTGTTCCCTTGGTAGAAATTCAGGCAATTGTGTCATTTGAAGATATCCTGGAATTGGTCTTGGATCAGCTGTGTACAGTAGGAGTAGCCATAAGCTCTGATGAACTGAGGTTACCTATGAAGTGGAAGAGTAGGCTTTGTGGGTCTGTATTCCTTGTGCGCTATAATTCTTGTATCTGAATTGTACAGGTGCTGTACAATAGTACTATTGGATACAATAGTAGCCAAGCCATACCACAATCCAACAAAAGTACTAAGTAGCACATAAAAACTATTATTTATTTATATAATTATAGAGATTTATTTCACAGTGCTGACACCAAACATTAAATATTAAGTGAGAAATCAGTCAGAGATGTTCACATATCACAAAGTATCAGTTCAAATAAATACACAATAAGCTGTTAATTTGAAAATCCAACGTGGCGGTAATTTACTGAGAAATGTTGTGGATCTGCTGATGGGACTGGGTGCCAGCTCTAAGCCCATTTCAAAGTTTTCTTCTTCATGACCAACCTCTCACCATTCAATTGCAGCACATCAATAGCCTAACAAAATTAAAACAACGTTTATTGCCAAACACGTATCATTCCTCCCATGTAATAACAATGAATTGATACCAACCTTTAACATTTCAATTGCAGCACATTAATAGCTTAATGTTCTGAACAGCAGTCATAAAATGCTCACTTGTGGATCAATACCTTGTTAAAATAGCAATTAAGAAGAAGAGAAGAGATTGGATTTATACCCCGCCCTTCACTCGGATTCTCAGAGCGACTTACAAACTTCTTTCTCTTCCCCTCACCACAACAGACACTCCGTGAGGTAGGTGGGGCTCTTTCCAGAACTGTCCTTGAGAGAACAGCTCTGACAGGACTATGGCTTGCCCAAGGTCATCCAGCAGCTTCTGGTGGAGGAGTGGGGAATCAAACCCGGTTCTCCCAGATTACAGTCCACATATTTAACCACAACACCAAATTTCATTAAACATTCACAAGCATCAGCTGCAAACCTCATATTCAAGGGATAGTCTATTTCTTAACGATATAGTGGGTCATATATAATACCATATTGCTCACACTATATGAGAGATTTGCAGCTGCTATTTTAACCAGTTATTTATAATTAAGCCACAAGTGAGCATTTTACAACTGCTGTTCAGAACATTTTTAAGCTATTGATGTGCTGCAATTTATATGTGAAAGGTTGGATTTTTAAATTACCAACTTGTGTGTTTATTTGAACTGATACTTTGTGATATCTGAATATCTCTAAGTGATTTCTCACTTAATATTTAATGTTTGGTTGTCAGCACTGTGAAATAATTTTCTATGATGATGTAAATAGCTTTCTGCATGCTACTCTAGAGCCACATACTTAGTACTTTTGTTTGTTATAGTATACAGAGTTGCTTCAGATGGAATAATCCTGCACTGGTAAAGATTCGCATGCATATATTAGCTCTGCCTGAAACCTCTCAGATTAGTTTCTACCATATCTCAAAATGTCATTAGTTGCTGGATTTTATTTTAGTTAAGACTTCAAAAGACTTTCTGTGGATTGCCACCAACTTAAAGAAATGTAACAAGTAGTGGATATTTTATATAACTGTATAACCTGCCTTTCTTTGGAGCACCTTAGGACCCAAGATAGGTAAAAAAGAGGGGGGGGGGATAAAAATAAGTATTACAGTAGACATACATTAAAAATATTAAAAACCAATATAGAAATACTTTTATGGTCCATTAGGAGAATATTCTCCCTTTTCCCAGCTTAAAGCTGCCTCAAGAGCTCTCTAATAGCTCTGTCTTACAGCCTTTCTGGAAAGCCCAGGAGGTGTAAGACAACATATGCATAGCCATGCTGGATCAGACCAAGGGTTCATCAAGTCCAGCATTCTGTTCACACAGTGGCCAACCAACTACTAGGAAGCCCACAAACAGGAAGACTGCAACAGCATCATCCTGCCTGGGCTCCCCAGCAACTGATTTAAAGAGGCATGCTACCTCTGGTACTGGAGGTTGTTGTAGAGGTCATACAGCATAGCAGGTAGGAGTTTGAAGCCAGTCTCGCCTTTGCTGTAAACTAATTTGGTGGCCTTAGCCTGTCTGTACAGTTTTTGTTCTTTATTTATGTATTCATTTACTTCATTGATACTCTGCTTTCTCCTCATTGGGGTCCCAAAGCATTTTACATTATTGGCCATGAAACACTGGCTGTTGTTCGGCTATGACAAAAATAAAACCAGTTAGGTATGCAATAAAGAACTGCAGAAGGCCATGGGAGCATAATAGTGACCTTTCCTACAGAATTGTTTCAGTGATCCTGGAGGTAACATACATGGAACACTCTAAAACCGTTTACAAGATTGCTTCAAAATGAAATACCAACATACATAACTTTTTTCTTGGGGGCATAGGAAAAGATGTTCCCTAGTTTTACTTTTGCTTCACTTGAAGTTTATTAAAATAGATTGTTTACAAGACTACATTTCAACTGAATTGTTTGTTCTTAGGTTGGATCCTACCAGTCTGTTTGGTTGGTGCCAGTTTCTAATTGTCATCAGAAGAGCTTCTTCCATAAGTGGAAGAACTCCCTGTGTTGGAGGAATGCACTAGCAGAAGGAACTGGTAGGATCCAGATTCTAGTACTTGATTGAACAAACAAGAAAGACTTGTGCACATTTCTTTCATTATTTTATTTTAAACATTATTATCTTGCCTTTCTTCCCAATCAGGGCCCTCAAGGTGGTGAATGGTTGAAAAACATTAAAATATTAAAATAATACATGCAACAACAATTAAAATCATAAATAGGAAGGAGGGTCAATAAGGGAACGCCAAGTAAAGCAAAAATGCCTTCATCTGCTGACAGAGAATAACAGTAGGGTTGGGTTGGAGCAGATGACTCTCTGAAGAGGGAATTCCACAGTTTTAGTGCTACAACTGAGAAAACCCCTTTTTTTGTGGCTGCCACCCACCTAACCTCAAACCATTGTGTGGGAAGGGGGCTCTGAAGTTGGCTGGAATAGACTGGAGTTATATGGTTCCTACAACCCACTCCTATGATCCTAGCCAGAGCATTCATCCCAGTTGTGGTTTCTGGATGCTCTTCAAGGTCAGCCCCACATGCAGCACATTGCTGTAGGCTACTTGAGATGTTACCAGGGCATGTACAAACTTTCTGTCTGTTGTGTGGTGTTTCCTCAAATGCATACTCATGGTGTGAAGTGCTCATAATCTGTCATTTTGGAAGATGTGAAATAAGTCATAACAAGCAACATTTTTTGCAGTGTCAGTCACTATTGCATTTTATTTTGGCAGGTCAGGGATTTGACCGACACCTATTTGGCTTGCGGTATTTGGGAGAATCCACTGGCATGCCTTTGCCAGACTTTTACCAAGACCAAGCTTATGCACAGATCAATCATAACATTCTGTCCACCAGCACTTTGAGCAGTCCAGCTGTGACCATGGGTGGGTTTGCCCCAGTGGTGCCTGATGGCTTTGGTATCGCATATAGAGTGCATGATAACTTCATTGGATGCAGCGTTTCTTCCTATCCAGCTAGGAATGTGCATGAATTCCTTCAGTGCGTGCACAAGTCACTGGATGACATGTTTAACGTTTTGGAAGGTAAACACATAAGTAAGGGCTAGTCTGTTTGAATACGCAGTCCCCCAGGACTATTGTCCACTGGTGAAATGCCTTTAGGATTCTGACTGCAATTTGAGTACCGCATCGTCTGCCTTGTGTTTCCTTTGAAAAACATTATTCCCCAGGGGAGAAAAAATCATGAATTTAATTCTGTACATACTTCTGATTGTAAAATAATGTTGCCTTTATACTGATGCCTTATCTGTCGTTTCAGACCCATATAGTACCTCCTCAGAGTCAATAACAAAACATTTTTGTTCATAATGAAATATCTAACATGTTAATTGGAAACTGAATTGCTGAGACAAGCAGCTTGGGAAAGACAGGTGTAATACATATCTAAATTAAATGCATCTATATTACCTGTACCAGAATGAAACGCTTGCACTTAGAATAACGGCTTTATTTTTTTAGTATGTTAAACAGAATGTCATTTTAAATGTGCCTTTGTTGGAAACTTCTTTGATGCACCAAGGATTCAACAGAAACGTAAATGTGAACAATCAACAACCTAGCTTTATGTATTCACCAATCACGGAATTGATTGAAATAAACAATCGCCTCAAGAACATGGTCTACTATATGATGATGGAGCCCAGATTCTTACTCATTCAACACTGTAGGAACAGGCAAGGAGAAGGGACTACTTAATTTGGAAGTATTCTAGACCCTTATGACTGACCCATTTTTTCAGTGGGAGGACAGACTACAGGGGAACCAGAGTCTCAACCATGTTTCTACAGTGCAGGGGAAACGGAAGAATTACCACATAAAGAATGCTTTAAGTCACAATGTAAAAGATATGACACACTTGAATATATTCACTTTTTTCAAGTCTTCTAATTTAAAAAAGTTCTGTATACACTAAGATTTCAAAACCTCTGCTGAACATTGGATTTTCCCCCCATATAGGGCACTTCTGAACTAATGTAAACAAATTTAAGAACTTACACAGTGTTCATATTACCCCCCCCCCAAAAAAAATCCATTTTTCTTCCTGCTAATACTGCTGCATAGCTTCTGCCTAATCAAGCTGCTGACTTCTATGCAGGGAATTTAGGAGCTCCATTAAAATAAATATAGTTGTTACATTTGCTGCCCTATATATGTGTCCCCAAAGCCCTCCTGACTTCTTTGTTGGCTAGCATGCTGCGTTCTTTGTGTAAGGCCATATGAGGGAGGGTAAAGTTTGTAGAAAGTAAAATACTTTATTCTTGATTCAGAAAATCAATGACAAATAAGTTTCAACATTTGACAAACCTATGGGTAACTTCATAGATTCCGACTGATTCCTTTATTTTTTCATCATAGTCATTCCAATCCTGTGGAGTTAAATTCACAATGTTAGCTAGATACAAGGTAACTTCTGGATGCTCCCCAAGCAGGTTGGGGACTTTTGACATGGGCTCTACTGCAAAGTATCTGTCAAGTTTAACAGCCCCACATCATCGCAGAGCATACATGCTTGCACGCTTTAATGTTCTGCTATCAGAGGTGCTTTTAGGGAGGTACCGCCAGATACCATATGTAGACAGACTTTGTCCTTGCTCTCGAAAAGCTATAGAATCCACTACACACACCATACTTCATTGCCCCTTCTATAAGGATATCAAATCTCGTTTTGTTACTCCATTTCTAGAGGGTAAGAGCTGGCACTCTGATGACTCAATTGTTCACTTTCTTCTGTTTAATTCTAATTGCGAAATAATGCAGGCTGTTGCAAAATTTTCATATTATGCAATCAGAAGACGAGGCTTGAATAGCCAAGTGTAAGTGACTGATACATCTTAGTATTTCCCCGTATTTCCATGATGTTTTGTGCTTTCATGCCAATAAAGGGTGTGTGTGTGTTAAACATAACTTCTGTATTAGGCAACAGATGCTCTAAGCTAAAGTTTAGGATTCTGTGCTTGGATCTGAGCCTGTATTTCTGATACAATAATGTCCCCCTTGCATTGGGAATGAAGTCAGAAAACATCCATTAAAAATTCAACTTGGCTTCCAGCTTCTTTATCATTTTTAGCTTAAGGAATAATAGTTTTCCTATGGTGAAGTCCATAGTCACCCAAACAGACGGGCTTGCCTCTCCCTCACTTGAAGGATTAAATTTGTCAAGCCGTTGGTGGGTCACCAGACAGACCTATCTTTATGCTGAGAAGTGAACTGACCTTGACACGGCTGCTCATGGCTGAAGACAATAGAGCAAGTGAAGAGTCATCACCCTGAGCCTCCAAAGAGATTACTTGACAGCACAATTCTCTACCGGAAAGTAGTAAATCTGGAGCAACTGCCTGCAAAGCCAGAGCTTATGTTTGCATATAATGCAGTCTTGCAATGCTTTATCAGGGAACAACTCCCTATATTGCACTATAACAACTGGTTACCCTCTAGAAGATTCTTAAATGATGCCCATTATTTACTTTTATATGCTGCTTAAAAGTTCTTTTACGTCTGCCATAAATAAATACACAAGTTCTCTTTTAGCAAAACAAGTGAAATGTTTCAAAAGCCCCAACTTTTGCAATGTTTTCTGTGTATGATAGATGACAATAGCCACTAACTGCTACTAGTATTGCTTGCTACTAGCATTGACAAAACTAGCTCACAGTCCTGCAAATGGCAAAAAAAGAGTGTGGTACAGCTGAGAAACTTCTTTAAGCACAACAGTGATTCAGCAACTGAACAGTCTGCCTGCTTGCCTTCTGCAATGTGCCAGTGATTATATGCTGTCCTCTTTAAAAAGTTCTTCTTTTTCTCCTGCATTTGGCAGAGCCTGGTGATCTACTTTTTCTTGGGTGGAGGAGAAAGATACATGATGGGGATCTTTAACATGAGAACACTCACCTCTCCAAACCAGGGAGACATGCTGAGTGCTGCTAAGTACTCAGTAGGAGGAATTCATCAAGTTACGATACAGCTTTTATTAAAACTACAGACTGTACCTTTTCCAATAAGTTGATGTCAGTGAAAGGCGTTCCAGACTCTGCACCTTCTGCAACAAACCCAGCCTGTAAATATTTAGAAAGCATTTGTTAGTTATACAATCAGATCTGGAATGAAATGGATGCAAAGTAAGCAGCAAATAAGGGTAGCTGGTGGTGGTGACCAGGGTGACAAAAGGTCTCCCAAGAGCTCAGCAATGTTGCTAAAAAGAACAAATCCCTCTGCTAAACTTTCTACTTTGGAGTTACACTAGAGAGACTTTTTAATTGCTGCAAAAAGGAATTTTGAAGGAACCAGCTGCCCCCTGCTGACTGGTAAAGGAACAAGGAGCAAACAAATCAATGAAATCGCAATTTTCAATGTATTGTCCTGTACATTGTCTATCATATTCATGAGGGGGAAAGAATGCAGATGCCACCACCATTGTCACCCTATACTCATTTTGCAGACGGCTGTCCTTGGGAAAGATGCAAAAGGAAGAGACCTATAGTCAGCAACCTCCCACAGTCTGAGTGCCTAACTGCACACTACATTTTCCCTGAGTATTTTCCTGGGTCAGGTCACAGTGGTGCTCTGGGAGCTCTGTGCTTCCCAAGTGAGAGGAACCCCAATAAGGATCAGGAACATGGCAAGCAGGGGCACAGACTGTCCCCTCCCCACCCCATTCTCCTGGACTGAACCAGTTCCAGGGAATTACTATTTGCGGAAATGGACATGCAGGGACAGGTTAGCCATTAAGGCCACCAGGAATAATTGTGGTGGGCTGATGGCCTACAGGGCTGCCTCCTTCGCCCCAATGAAAGGGCAGCTGTCACCTTGTTCAGGGCAGCCCTCGCAGCTGACACTCTGGTGAGCCAGTGGCCCTTGTCCTGCCACCACGAGCGAGCTGATGACTCCAACCCCATGCAGGAGAGCCATCACTGTGAACAAGCTGGCTGCCCTGGCCCCATGTACAGTAGGCAAGCCCCGGCATTGCTGTGAATGAGCCAGATTCCCCAGCACCGTGGAAGATGGGTAAACTGCTATGGCTCACCCACCCCACATGGAGCTGGGGAAGCCAGCTTGCTTCTGGCAGCAGCACACCTGCCCCCTGACACCAGGACAGTCAGCTTGCTTGCTGTAGCATCAAGAGAGACATATTTTGCTCCTTCCCCCCTCTGTTGGGGTAGGGGTGGGGTAGCGTCCTTTCTAGGGCCATTTTTGGTTCTCCCTCTGAGGTGGAGGCCATCTTGTGGGTGATTCCCATCCATCACTTAGGGAGGCAGAACTAAATTCAATAACTTCCTGTTTCCTGTGGTGGGAGTCACCCTAGGCCTAGTTCTTTTCCTGCCTTAGTAGGGAGAGCAGTTAGCTCTAGGCTTTGCCTAATCCTATCTTGATTTCTCTCACTAATTTCCTTCATTCTCTTATCTTCCCTCTCTGTTACTTAAAAAAAGGGCTACCTTGCTTCCCTTCGCCTCTTCCTCTACTTACCCTCCCCCTATTGTGGGACTGGGGGTTGACCAGCTCAATTCCCCTCTTGGCAAGGAGAACATTTTCACTGTTTCTATGGCAGCGGGGGAAGACAGTGATGGGTTTCTCTCCAACCTGGAGAGAGACACTGCTGGAATCAATGAGGAAGGAAAAGACCGTATGGCAAGAAAAAGAGCCGTGGCGGAGGTCAAGGAGTGAGGAGAGGGTGGCGCGGTGAAGTGTGCCAAAACCCGCATGCAGAAGGAGCCCATGTTGCCTTCGGCAGCCATTTTACAGTCCTCTGACCAGCATGCATATTTAGACGGGAACAGTGAGCAGTGCCTAATCCTGCAAACTGAAAGCCCTGAGACCTATGGGCATAGCGGGAGCCTCCATGCTGGGCAAAATCAGTCCTATGTGGCCCATGGAGAAGAGAAAGATGACAAATCGCATAGCGGTAACGTTGGCGACCCCAGGTCCCTTCCCCCTCTCCCCAAGTGTGATGGCATTTTTTAGGAAAGCCTTGAGGGAAGAAATCACCCATTTCTGCAGCTTGGGGGGCCGGGGCTCCTGTTCCAGATCTTCATTCTCATCTACGTCCCCCTCCCCTCGGAGACATAAGGACAAATGTTGTTGGTCCACAAAGGCTGCTCAAAAAAGGTTCCCCAGGGAATGGTGCCTGTATGATTCAATGGCACCTGAGAGAGACGCCTTGTCTCATGTGTCTAGTGAAAAGAAGGAGAGTTTTCTTTTAATGAGGAAGAAGTGAGAACAACTGCCACAGAACAGTCCGTCCGATTTTTTAAAGGAGAGGATTTTCAGTACCTACTCTCAAAAACCTTGTCAGCGCTCAACATTCAGGGCTCCCAGGCTACAGGGAGCAAGAGGGCTGACACCCAAGAACAACAGGAGGGTGCAGAGATCACTGATGAGTTCTTCCCACCAGTCGATTACTCAGAAAAGGCCTTTCCCTTCCCTGATTTTTAATGTAAGAAAGTTGAAGGCAGGATGGGCGAAGTCACTGACTAACAAACCATTTCCAGGATTTATTAAAAAACTGTATCCTATGACATCATCTGCTTCAAGTCCATTACAGGTACCGGTGGTTGATGCACCGGTAACGGCACTACAATCTTCTGGATTGGTCTCTGAAGATGGACATGGCAATCTAAGAAACAATCTTGATAAGCGAGCGGAGTTTGCTCTGAGGAAAGTCATGAGGCCGATGCCATGGCAATCAAAGCATTTGCTGCAGCGTCCAATTGTTTAAAGCAACTATTGTGTGGTTGAGAAAGCTAATTCAGATGTTACCCAACAACAACCGCAGACTATTGGAGTGGGCCAATAGAGTCTTGAAGGCCATCTCCTACACAGCCAAGGCTACCTTGGACACCATGGTCATTGCCTCTAAAGCTATGGCATCTGCTGCTGCTGTTTGTTGCATCATTTGGCTCAGGGCTTGGCCTATGGACTATCAATCCAAAGCCATCGTCACAGTATACCCCTTTTCAAGGTGACAAACTTTTCGGAGATCCACTGGAAAGGATCTTAATGGAGACACGGGATAAGAAGAAAGCTCTTCCCAAGATCATGCACCTTGGAGACAAAGGGACAGTGGCCTCTTCCTCCTCTCGCATGCAGCATACACTACCCAGGTTCCGCCAAGAGAACAGAATACCTTCATGGGGTGGCAACGGACAGTCCTTTCATCAAGGAGGCTTCAACAACAGATTCTCATGACCCAATACCAATTGACAAGAGAAAGGGGATAGGGACCCCAAAGCCTCAAGGGCATGACTACCCGGTTCTACTGGTGGGGGGACACCTGACACTCTTCAATCATGCATGGTCCACCTCCCAGCCAGACGCGTGGACAATGGACATTATCACTGAAGTATACAAGACAGAATTTAGTGCGATTCCACCTCAACGTTTCATAGTTTCTCCGACACACAAAAACCCAGTAAAGAGGGACAGAACCACGTTTGCAATAAATCACTTATTGGACATTCAAGCTATAGAACCTGTTCCTGCGAACAAGCAAGGGACAAGTGTTTACTCCATCTTTTGCACTGTTCCCAAAAAGAATGGGGACTGGAGGGCAATTCTGGATTTAAAATTTTTAAACAAATATGTCAAACTCAAACACTTTCGCATGGAAACATTCAGATCCATTGTAGAATCCTTACTACCCAGGGAGTTCCTTGCCTCCATAGACCCGACGGAGGCGTACATGCACATTCCATTTTTTGTGCATCACATCTCAGGGAAGGCCTACCTAAACAAGCAAGGGGGTTCCCAGTCCTCAGCCTTACACAGGGAAGTGACTCAATTGTTGACATGGGCAGAATCCAACCTAGCATTGATCAAAGCAGAGCATGTGAAAGGGACAGTCAACATGCAAGCGGATTGGCTGAGTTGTCAGACGGTCCAGGAGAACGAATGGTCCCTAAACAAGAAAGTATTTCAACTCATAGCATCAACTCTGGGATCCCCTCTGATGGATCTATTTGCCTCCAGCCAACACCCAAACTGGACAGATTTGACACAAGGTACTTCCACCATCAAGCGGAGGGCATGGATGCTCTGCTGTCCCCATGGCCCGAGGGTCTTCTTTATGCCTTTCCTCCGCTTCCTGTTTTTCCAAAGCTCCTAAGGAGGATCAGGGTCTTAGGCAAAAATCATAGTGGTAGCACCGTACTGGCCATGCCGTCCATGGTTCTCGTCTCTGCAGGAGATGGTGGTGTCACCTCCTCTGCACCTTCCAGTGTCAGCAGACATGCTAGTTCAAGGCCCAATTTGGCACCCCAGACCAGGGTAGTTTTAACTGCATGGAAGTTGAAAGGGACAAGTTTTTAAAACTTGGCTATAAAGAGCCAGTAATCGAGACAATCATGGCATCTAGACGGCCGTCTACCTCCAGAATTTATAACTCCACCTGGAAGGCCTTTGTCCGATGGGCCAGAAGAAAGAAAGTTGACCCCTTACAATCAAAAATTGGGTCTATCCTGGAATTTCTACAGGACAGCATAGCAAGCAGTCTCAGAGCAGCAACTCTTAAGAGACAGACAGTGGCCCTAGCTTCGGTTCTTCCCTGTTACAACGGCCTTCCCATTTCTCAACATCCTCACATTCACTGGTTCTTCAGAAGGGCCTCACTTAAGGATCCTCCACAGAAACATAGGTTCCCAACTTGGAGGCTTAATACTGTCCTTACAGCCCTCACAAAGGTACCTTTTGAACCTTTAAAAGACATTCCCCTAACATTTTTTAAGAATGAAGACCTTGTTCTTGGTAGCCATTACTTCAGCCAGAAGGATTTTGGAGCTGGGTGCACTATCTATTCAGCCAGACTTTTGTGTTTTTCACAAGGACAAGGTAGTACTGAGAACAGACCCTACCTTTTGCCCAAAGGTCAATACTACATTTCACAGCTCCGAAGAGATCCACTTACCATCTTTTTCTCCAAACCCTGCTCATCCAAAGGAAAAATTGTGGCATACTCTGGATGTGAGAAGAGCTCTCAAATGCTATATCTTCAGAACGGCACCCTTCAGATGAACAGAGGCCATGTTCATTAACATTTCCCCTCCTCATACCAGGGGGAAGATGTCTACTTCTGCCATAAGTACCACCATTCGTTCTTGCATAATGGAAGCCTACAAAAGTATGAACCAGCATGTACCTGAGGGTATCAGAGTGCATTCCCTGCACAGCGCGGCAACCAATGCGGCCTTTGCCAATAGGGCATCGGTGGAAGAAGTATGCAGGGCTGCCATGTGGTCTTCTTTGTCTACATTCATCAAACACTATAAAATCAATGTTTAGGACTCTGCCAATGCGGCATTTGGAAGGAGAGTGCTACAGTCTGTTCTATCTCCTGATGACGACCTCCCTCCCCAAAATTAGGGACACTGCTCTGGGAGGTCCCACAAGATGGCATTCACCTCAGAGGGAGAACAACCATTGGTTACTTACTGTGAAGGGTTCTTCTCCACTGAGACTTGGAGGACATCTTGGCCCTCCTGGGTCATCATTTCCTATTGCTACTCTGTCTATTCTTCACCTTTACAAAAAAAACCCTGAGACAGAGAGAAGTTAGTGAGAAAGACAGGGTTTTTTTTTAATTCACCTATTCCTTCCTGTTTGTTATGCTGTGATTTCATCTTCCCCTTGTTCTTCGCATGTTATTCAAGTTCTTTGTTTTTTAGAATGGCTGACTTAGTATATTGCTTTCGGAGCACCAGAACTGAGCCTAGAGTGACTCCCACCACAGGAAACAGGAAGTTGTTGAATTTAGTCCTGCCTTCCTAAGTGATGGATGGGAATCTCCCACAAGATGTCCTCCAAGCCCCAGAGGAACCAATTGTCGTTCCCAGTCCGCCCCTGCTCACATGTAACCATATTAGTTCAGGTGCTGCCTCCAGTGGGGCAAACCATGGCTCCCTGAGGCCAGGAAAATAGTGTGGAGAAGGTCTAAGCCCCTTCTCAACATGGTCTCTATCTATTAGTCCTTGCATGCTTGAGAGCTCTCAAAGCACATCTGCCACCCAGCCCAGAAGTGCACCTGGGGAAAAATGTAACATGTAGTTAGACCCACTGTGTTGAAACGGAGGCTGGTGTCTACAGAAAGGGGTGAATGAAGCCCCTTGTTCTCTTTTTTTACTGAGCTACCACAAAGTTCCCAGAATCTGCTGTAGTCTTTCTGTTCTCCTCCCAAGTCCCCCTTTGAAAGTGTAGCATTTTGAATGTTACATCCCCTGAAAATCTGCAGAAGGCTTTATTTTTGTTAGCAAGCTTGAAGTTTTGTATCTGGTGATGTTATTCAAATTGAGTGTTTTCACATCACATGAAATCTGAATAGAAGGAAAGTATCACCACTTTTGCCACAAACATGGTTGTAGGAATTAACCTCAATAGAAATAGTTACATCAGTATTCAGGCTCAACAGAGAAGTGATTCACAAGTGCCCAGCAAAAAAATAATGAAAACTTGCCTGTGGTTGGAAGTCCACTGGTTCAAGGCCACGACACTCAAACTCAACTATTGTCTTAAAGGTCTCATTGTCTTCTGCCTAAAATTAAGTCCAAAACAGCTTTCAAGCTGGAGGAATAAATACTTGCAGGAATACATGAAAACCTCATTTTCCAAATATCACATCCCATAAAAACACAAAATACTAACAGCAACATCTCTAACTATTCACTGCTGTTATATGTTTCCAGGTCTAGTTCCCATCTTTCAGGAAAGCAGTAAACAATCAAAGAGAGTGATTGTTTCAGAAAAGGATGCTGGCCTGGTTACACCGGATCACTGTACATCAACTGCCATCTATATTGATCTGCACTTTACTTGTATACTGTTTTATGTGGAATTTTATGGTACTGCATTTACACACTGTGTTTTATTGTATTTTAACTTGTTGTATGCCGCCTTGAGCCTGCCTGTGTCGGAAAGGCGGAATATAAATCGAAAATAATAATAAATAAGTAAATAAAAGCAGTGAACAATCCATGAGTAACTCCAAGAGAGAAGAAAATATACATTGTACTTCAGTCATTAAGGCCTGGTTACATCACAGCTGATAGCCGAGTAATCAGTGGTACAAAAGCTCTTGAATTTAGAGCATAACATGTAAAGGACAAGCCAATTAAAATAATAAGTTGCTCTCTTTGTCTCAAGATTTAAAAATACTTTCAGAATGTATCATCTCAGTTATCTGGAGTTCAGTATTTTCAAATAATTTATACAGCAGACTCACAACATTGATCTTCCTAAAAGACATTCTTTATACAGAAAAGAGGCTGTATAGATGCAACGTATGGCAATAAAAGGTATGATTGACTGACTGACTGACTAACATGCAACCACCACAGGGTCATACTGGATATGGAAAATAAGAGCATATCCCAAACTCTGTTTTCTGCGTGCAGTTATCTGCGCAAATGGAATCCTGCAGGCACAATGGTGACAGGGCACAGACATGCAATCTGGTAAAACAGACTGGTTATCTCCATCTTAATGTAAAGATGAATGGTGCATCCACACTGAAATGCAGTTGCTCCTGCATGCCTACATCAAAGTACTACATGCAGAACTGGGATTTAATAAATTTTAATTTAAACACCTTCCCTTAAGTGGATTATGTAACTGGCTGTTCTGCCTTTAATCAAAAAGAGCAGGTGCATTTAGAACCCTTCCATGGCTGGGTATCCTTGGATGAAGCACGCAATAAGTTGTCATTTACTCTGTAATATGGCAAAGAACATGAACTTACATTGTAAGGCTTTATGGTGTGACTTAAGATATCTGAAAGAAAAGAAGAAAAAATATAGCAAAGGAGGGAAATGATCGCCAGTGTGGTGTACTGGTTACAGTGCCAACCCAGATTCAAATTTCCACTCAGCCATCAACCAGGCTGGGTGCCCTGGATTAGGCTGAGAGAGAAAGAGGGACTGGGATCTATCTCATGGGGCTGACGCAAGGACAAAATGGAGGAGGGGGAAACCATGTGTGCTACTCTGGTGAAGTAAAAATGCAAGAGCTAAATGATAGGTTTCAACATGTCTATAAATGAATACAGAATGAAGAAGATGGTAACTCACAAAGCTGAATCCAATACTTAATTTTCAATGGATTCCATGTCAATTATTTCACTGGGAGTTAATCAATTTTAATTTATACACCCTCCTATAAGTGGATTATGTAATGGGTTGTTCTGAATTTAATCAAGATGAGCAAGATAGTATCAAGAAACACGTAAATAATTATTAAAACATGTTGGAGGGAAAATGTTCACTGTAGTAATTCATACAGTTTAAATGGAAAAAAATGACTTGGATTCCACCTCCCTCTGCTGCAGCCAAAACGTCAGCCCAAATGCTGCTCCTGAGGGACCCCCCCCCCAAGAGCTTAGAGGTGAGAGCTGAATGCTTGCTGTGGGAGAGGACAACAGGCAAAACCCTATCCCCTTCTGCCTATGGAAACATTAGATGGGATCTAAGAAAAAAGTCATTAAAATATACATACAAAAATTAAAACATTCCTTTTTTAGGGCTTTTTTTTTCCAAAAAGGGAAAACCTCTATGAAACCAAAACACGCCTCCAAACCAACATTGAATGCTATTACTTCAAACATGCATTTCTGACTGTTTCTTGGGTCTCAAGTTCATGAGCTGTTTATTCAGTGACTGTTCAATGTTCCTTCAATGCAGGCCTTTTGCTATTGGTACTGTGAGCATCTTAGCTTCACTGCTGCACAGTGGGCTGCTCAACTTATATTCTTGTCTGGTAGAAATAGAAATTTTAGCTTGGCACATTATAAAAGCATTCATGGTTGAAAATGCCATAAACTAGTTATGACTGCTGCCTGAATCTGATCTACAGATGTGTCCTTAATCAGGGGAATGGATCTTACCTGCTCACAGAAGGCACTTCTGCCAGAACAGAGCAACTGTCTCCTGTTACAGTCTGCCCCCCCACCCCACATTATGTACTCCTGGGGATTGGTGGACTGCTGAGAATAATGTGGGCGATGGAGGGGGAGTTTCCAGTATGTAGGAGATGAGCAAAAATCCCCCTTTCAGCAAATGTAAAAGTTGTGTGGTGTATCTCACTTGTCCTTAATCGTGATTCAGTTTTATTTATGGTGTGATGCTTTAATAGATAATATTGCAATTCAGATTAAGATAAAAAATAATGACAGGATCTCACCTGGGAAGCTGAAAAACAAGCGTACCCTACTTTTGCATAAGAGGCAGTGAGCACAAAGTATTCAGTCCATATAAATAAAATGTATGCTTGAGAAGGAATTGCAGGTATCCCACTGTTGTTGCTGCAGCACAGACAAACTCCATCCAAATTTCTTAACCATGAACAAAATGAATACATTTTATTCCCAGCATATGATTATTCAGAAGATATGGTAATCCCCGACTATCCCCAATTATGGCTTCTGATTATATTTTCTTAGAATACACCCTTTCATTTACAAACCACCTACATGTAACATGGCCTCCATTAACAAAACCAGAAAAATATGCCCCAAGCTGAAAGGCAATAGTAAAAATTAAGGTTGGCAGACTTAACTCTTTATGTTCTGTGGGATGGAAGTACAGAAATTTTACCTACCTATAGAGTTTTCTCTGGAGCACAGCTTGCATTTCTGCACCATTGTGGCACTCCCTCTGCCTCCTTTGAGAGGGTGACTGTCCTAAACATTTCCAAAGGAGTCATTAAGGTCAAAATTGTACCGTTCTACAGGAAAAGCTACAGCTTTCCCCCCAACAGCTAACACTAATGTAATAATCAGATTGCTATTGTAAAAGTAGACCCCTTTTCTTTGGGACTCAGACTGTTGGATTTGTATATCAACAATTTTCATCAAATAAATGAGTAAAACTATGGTGAGAACAGACCTTTAGTATATTTCTTATTCTTTTTTCAAAAATCCTGTGTGTTCAGACCTTTCAAAATACAGCAGTCAAATACAGAATATAGGACTCTGTATTTGACTGTAACACCGATATTAATTGTGACAGACTTGTGAACGGTTGTTATATAAACAAGCCAAGAAATTATTGCTCTGAAAAAGCCACAGCACTGTCTAAAAATGATGGGCATTGGGGGAAAAGGTAGCCTTGTTCATACTAAGCTACTGAATATCAGCACATGCTGGAAAACGCATAACTGCAGATCCTTGTAGCCAGCAAGTAGACCTGAATATTAAGTGTCTGTTTAGGCAATGGGTGGCTAATCCATAAGGGGCATGAGCAGTGGGAACCGGTAGCATCTGCTCCTTTCAAAGACAAGTAGAACTCACACTCCTACCAGCCTCTGCTGTATTACACTGCATAGCTTCCTGTTGCACAGTGCAGACAAAGAAACAAAAACCATGCCAAGGGGGGGTTCTGCAGCAAACACTAAGGCAACATTGCATCACTGGCCCTAATCTATCCTACTACCCTCTCCAAGGAACTCCACAGCCTTACTGGACTCATCTGATAGGGAGAAACAGAGCTAGGTGTCATGGCATCTCATTCCAAATTCCATGCATCCAATCAGACTTTTCAGAATGCTAAAAACGTAATTTCTAAATGGCACACCCATGTATTATTATTATCTCTCCTTATATATAATCCTGTTTTGGGGTGAATGTTCCACACGCTCCCACAGGCTTTGGCTCCCTCAACTGCCACTCGGAAGGTCTGCCAATCCCCTGGCTACATTGCCTCGCTGCACTGTCTCAGTCCCGCCTACAGAGCCGGCGGCCAGCGTCTCAGCCAGCGGCCAGCGTCTCAGCCTCAGTCTAAACGGAACCAGCAAAGGGGATGGATGCTCCCCTGGGTGGGGGCTTATGTAAGGAGAGATTCTCTTAGTGTATTGGCCGTTTCCAGCTCTCCCATTGGCTGTGCAGTGTGGTTCCATCAGCCATTGGGCTGTTAGCTGCCACTCAAGAGTACTCGTGTACCATTGGCCAAGTGCTGGGTCTGCTCCTCTTCCCCGCCCACTTTCACTTCTGCCCCTGTTCCCTGTCAGATTTACTGGCAGACAGCTCTCTCTACTAACTTTCCCCTCAGTGGCTGTTGATAGGCAACCAAGCTTGTTTCTGTCAGTAAAAAGACAAAGGACTTTCAGCATAACCCCCTCCCTCGCCCACTGCCAGCCTGGCCACTTTCCTGTCAGAATAAACTGAAAACGGCTCTTTCCTGCTTGGCTCCACCATGGCTGTCTGGCTAATGAGGTGGGCCAGCGACCATCAAACCATTCTCTTCAACCCCCTGCTTTTTGGCTGACTTTCCCCTAGGGTTGCCAATCTCCAGGTGGGACCTGGAGATCTCCCGCTGTTACAATTGATCTTCAGATGACAGAGATCAGTTCCTCTGGAGAAAATGGCTGCTTTGGAGGGTAGACCCTATGGCATTATCCCCTGCTGAGCCCTTCCATCCCCTCCCAAATGCTGCCCTCCACAGGATCCACCCCCCAAATCTCCAGGTATTTCCATAATCAGAGGTGGCAACTGTACTTTCTCCTCAGTGCCTGTTGCTAGGCAACCAAGCTTGGTTCCGTAAAAGGCCCTTTCCACACCTAAGTTGGCCTTTGGGAGAAAACTCATTGGGGCCAGTTCTGATAGGGTTGCCAACTCTAGATGGGAAATTTGTGAAAATTTGAGGGATGGAGCCTGGTGAGGCTTGAGGAGGGGTGGGACCTCAGACAGGTACAATGCCATAGACTCCACCCTCACAACCAGCCATTCCCTCCTAGGGAACCACTGTTGCCAATCTCAGGAGAGGGGTGGAAATCAGTGTTCCCTCTAAGCTGAGTTAGTGTGAGCTAGCTCACAGTTTTTTAGCCTCTGGCTCACCCATTTCTGTCTCAGCTCAGGAAGGAGGGCTCCAGAGCAAACTGATTTATGCAGTATCCAAATGCCTCGCTCACAACTTTAATGCCAGCGGCTCACAAAGTAGAATTTTTGCTCACAAGACTCCGCAGCTTAGAGGGAACATTGGTGGAAATCACTCAGAATTACAACTGATCACGAGGAGGGAGAGGGGAGGAGATGCAAAGCTGAAATCAGAGGGGCAGATAATGGCAGGTTAATGCTTGGCTGGGAAGGAGATAGGGTTGCCAACTCCAGGTTGGGAAATTCATGGAGATTTATGGGGTGGAGCCTGGAGAGGGTGAGGTTTGAGGAGGGGTGGGACCTCAGACAGGTACAATGCCATAGACCCCACCCTCCGAACCAGCCATTTCTTCCTGGGTAACAATTGTTGCCAATCTCCAGGTAAGGGCTGGAGATCACTGAAAATTACAACTGCTCTTCAGGTAGCAGAGATCAGTTCCTCTGGAGAAAATGGTGGACTCTGTGTCATTACACCCTGCTGAGGTCACCACAGCACATTGATGCTGAGTGCCATGGCCTTGGCACTCTCCCAGAGGCCTCTTTCTAGACTTCGATGTATTTATTTCCACAACGGACCTTATTCCTAGTTGTTGTTGTTATTATTAACAACAACAACAACAACAACAGCATTTATGAATTGCCAAATCCCTGCCACAGCAGGGCTCTGGGCAATGTACAGTCTCCAAAAAACAGAAACAAGATAAAACCAACTGAAACATTAATAAAACATTCCAACAATCAGATGGTGAATAGTCAGTCCCAATTCCAACTGCCAGCTACTTTGTGGGCAGGGGGGGGAAGAGGGCGAGGTAGATGTAAATAACAGAGGAGGGTGCCAGCCAAGATGGAGCCTGGCGGAATATCTAATGCTAAAATGCCATCTATTTCCCTGAAAAATAAATCCAGATAGTGGCCTAATGAGGCAGCAAAACCACCAACATGTGTGAGCTATTCATAAAGTGACAGCCCTCCAGGGTAAATGGTTGGCCACTGTGTGAAACAGGGTAGTGGACTGGATGGACCACTGGTCTGAACCCACAGAAGCTCTCCATCTTATGACAACACTTATCAGTCACCCAAGTATTAAATGTAATCCATATAAACAACTCTAAGCACCCCCAAACAGCTTCTCAAATTCTTATAATACCTGAACCAAGTCCATCCCTATACTGTGTGTATTACCGTTTAGCATGCATGTGTTATAGTTTGGAGACCTACCATTAATCGTAAATATTGCCATTTTTCTGAAACCTCACCACAGTTCCCACATTTCAGCTGAAAAAGGAAAACCAAACACAAACTCAAAATGCATTGAAAAATCCAACAGCAGAATGGTACCACAGGGGAAAAAAGATTAATGTAAAATAAATGGATGGATGTGAACTGCAAGGGAGTCCTAATGCATGCCCAGTGAATGAAAAACTCAGAACAATTCAAATCTGAAATATATCATCACAGATTATTTCCAAAGATAGAGCAAGAGTAAAGGCTAGGGCTTGATCCCAAAGCTTTTTCCCTAGGGGTTAAATCCCACCTCCACCTTCATTCCCACTGGTCTTCCTCTCCAGCTGAAGTCCCTGGCGCAACATCCCATGCGGATTCCAATGAACCCCCAGCCCTCAGGACTCTTTCCAGGAGGCTGCAACAGGAAGGGAGAGCCAGCAAAGCTCTGTTGCACAGGCAGACTTGCACTTGTATCATATGCCAACAAGGTTCCTAGAGTCAGCAGTATAAAGGGATGTATGCTGTCATGACAGCCAAAGAACAGGCAATTCCTTTTCCACTGCTGCCCATAGGAATCTTATGTAACTGCATTCTTTGGAAGTACGGCAGTCCATAATGACCCAAACCTATTACCATAAATACATGCAATCTGAATAATCATGACCACCTTGTTTATTAAATGACTGTCTCATTGAAACATTGGGGGGAAGAGAGACTTGAAAGCAGAATGGGAGGGGGCTTTATTCATTTGCACGTAATTTGTATGCTGATGTTAACTTGCTTCTTGTATTGTAGTGGGGATAAACTTTTAAAGACAAACAAATAAACAAACAACCAGCAAGGTGGCAAAGAAAAGTCAGGCACCTGGAGCAGTTTTATATAAAATGTTAAACATTTTCTGTTCTCAGACTTTTTTTTTGTAATTTCCTCATCCGATTAGATGGGTGGAGTCTTTTCTGGGGTGGCACCATGTTTGTGCCACAACCTCCCCAGCAATGCTCCCTCTAAGCTGCGAAGTCTTGTGAGCAAAAAATCTACTTTTTGAGCTGCTGGCATTAAAATGGTGAGAGAGTGATTTAGCTACTGCATAAATTAGTCTGCTCTGGAGCCATCCTTCCTGAGCTAAGACAAAAATGTGTGAGCCGGAGGCTAAGAAACTGTGAGCCAGCTCACACTAACTCAGTTTAGAGGGAACGCTGCTCCCCAGGAATGATTCTTTGCAGTTACAACTGTTTTCTTTCAGATAATCACAGCATTTTAAATATCTGATTTGATTTTAGCACTCCAACCTTTAAAAAAGTAACAGTGCTCCTATCTGTGATTTCATCACGAAGTTTGATGCTGTTTTCTTATGCTTTTCTTTCTTACTGTTTTACCCGTTCATGTCCCCTCATTTCTGAATAGCCAATAGCAAAATATCTCACTACACTTCTGCAACTTTATGTTAATATAGCAGTTAAAATCCTAAAGATTAGAGTGTGAAGCCTGTTCACCTGGAAACGATACTATGTACTTTAGTGATCCAAGAATCCATACATTTGTAAGCAAAGAAAGACTGAAGCCCTCCCATAAAGGCTTTCCGATTTGGGAACCCTGATCGTAAATCTCAAATATCAGTTGAGTTCACTTGGTGGGGAAGAGGAAGGTACTTTGCACCCGCCTTATTATTGCTAAACTCATAGGCCAGGAACAAAAGCCAAGAAACTGTGCCGACAGACTGCTACTTTATTGTTTTACACTGGAGGGCGGGGAACATCCTGCACCGAGGAACAGGGCACCATCACTATAATTTGCTACACCTTCGTTGACAATTCACCACGTGCTTTGTGTAAATACGGTATGTAAAGTATTCCACACATACCTTCAGATACCAGCGAAAGTCCTCCCCCACTGGTCTGACATTGGTGATATTTTCTAAGGTGGCTTTGAACTGCAGCCCAATCTTCTGCAAAGAGACGCGAGCATATCAGGCGCGAGACGTGACCCTAGCCCCAGACTCGCCCCAGCCAGCCCTCCAGTGTTTCAGGCCGCCGCACAGACACAGCGCCTCCTCTTACCCCCATCACTGAAGTGCAAACAAAGTCCCACCGCGAAAATCCTCTACGGGTTCGGGGGCTAAGCAATAAGAACCCCGGACGGGGTTGAAAGAGAACGCAATCAAGACTGCAGAAGCATTTGCTCAAAGGAATCCAGGCAGCGGCTGCAAAACCTCGCGAGACGTCGGACGGGCTTTCTTCGTCGAGGTTTTGCTACCGTAGTCCGTATTCCATTTTAAAGCACCGTTGCCACAGTGGCAGCAGCCATCTTTAGCAAGGGCAAGTGGTCGCTTCAGTGTTTGGTATTGTAAGCGATTACTTGCTCTTACGAAAGGAGGCTGGCACCACTGTGGCAACGGTACTTTAAAATGGAATACGGATTACGGTGGCCAAGTTCGTCTTTGTACCAGTAGTGGACTTTAGAGGGCGCTCCATTACGGAGCGGGGCGTCCCCCACCATCCGACGTGATGACGTCGGATCGCGGAAGTCCCTGCCCAAAACTGCGGCCCCAACAAAGATCACCAGGGACCGCAGCTCTCCCTCCCTTCCGGAGAGATTTAAAGGAACCACCGATACGGTGGAGGGCCCTTTAAATCTTGGGAGAGGGGAGGCCGCAGGACCCCACTGGACAGAAGCATTTAAAGGGAACCGCTTGGAGATCAGGCACGCGGGGTGGTCCAGCTGGGCAGAAGACTTAAAGGAACCCTGGGGAAGCATCTGCCCACCGCATGCCTGATCTCCATGCGGCATTGGCCACTGGGAGATGAGGCGCGCGGGGCGGGCCGGCTGGGCAGAAGACTTAAAGGAATCCTGAAACAACTTGTGCCATGATCCCAGGCCCCGCCCGCCTGATCTCCCAGCACTAATGGCAGTGGCAACGGGGGAGGGGTACGAAATGTCCGCCCCCCCTCTGAGCCCTGAGGTGGTGACCTTGGAGTCCTAGGGGCAAATTCCACCTCTCGCATGTGACGGCCGAGCAGCCATAACTTTTTAAAGAGCCCCTAATAAGACCTAACAAGACTCCTGCCAACCTAGCAGTTCGAAAGCAAGAAATTGCAAGTAGATAAATAGGTACCACTTCAGTGGGAAGGTAACAGCGTTCTGTGCACCTTGGTGTTTAGTCATGCCGGCCACATGACCATGGAAATGTCTTCGGACAGCGCTGGATCTTCGGCTTTGAAACAGAGATGAGCACCGCAACCCTAGAGTCGGATTCGACTGGCTTTCGAGCAAGGGAACCTTTACCTTTTTTTAACAAGACCTGGGGGAACCAGAATGACCTCTCGTGCGTGATTTGCGCCTAGGACTCCATGGCCACCACCCAGGGCTCAGAGAGGCGGGGGGACATTTCGCGCCCCCCCCACCACTGCCATTAGCGCTGCTGCCGTGGCCAGAATGACCTCTCACGTGGGGCCATCACACACCAGAGGTGAAACTTGCCCCAAGGACTCCGAGGCCACCACCCCGGGGCTCAGAGAGGCGGGGGGGGGACATTTCGCCCCCCCGTTGCCACTGCCATTAGCGCTGCTACCACAGCGGGCACCCATAACTTTTTAAAGAGCCCCTAACAACACCTGGGGGAGCCAGAATGACCGCTTGCGTGTGAATTTGCCCCTAGGACTCCAAGAATGACCGCTTGCGTGTGAATTTGCCCCTAGGACTCCAAGGCCACCACCCCGGGGCTCACATGCAGGGCTCAGCCTGACAAACTGGCATTTATGTCAGATCCAGCCCTTGTAACAAATGAATTTGACACCCTTGGTAGTATGTCATCTCTGGTCACCTCAATCTGGTTCAGTTCTTCAGACTCCCTTCCTGCAAATAATGACTGTAGCATGGGTACATGCCCCATACGTTCGTCCGTGAACACAAAAGCAAAAAAGTTCATTGAGCTGCTCTGCCATCTCTTCATCTTCCTTTAGCAATCCCTTTATTCCCTTGTCATCCAAAGGCCCCACCTGCTTCTCTGGCTGGTTTCCTGCTCTGGATATATTTAATTTTTTGTGTGTGTTTTAATTGATGGTTTTAGCAACCCACTCCTCAAAATCCCTTTTTGCAAGCCTAATTATTGACTTACATTTCTTCTGCCACTGCCCGTGGTCCCTCCTGTTCAATTTATACTTACTATCTAACACTGTCGAACCCCATTAGATATTTTTATGTATTCAACACTGAGTATAGAAAATTACCAAGTATAATCCACTCAGTGCAAATATATATCAAAATGCAATTTAAAAAATTTCAAACCACAGCAAAGGTTTTACCGCTCAAATTAAGAAGCCACCCCTCCAATTAAAATAAATGCTGAATATACTTCTAAGATCACAGTTTTGATTACAAACACTTCCTAAATAAAAAGACATTTTAGCATTTATTAAATTCACCCTATACAAACGGATATACATAAAAGTCATTTAATAAAAGACACAAGGAATGACAGGAAATTTTACAGTACAAACTTAACCATACAATTTAAATTGGCTTAATTTTGAAGTGCAATCCAATAAGACTGAAGACTAGACACTTGAGGTCCTGGACAAGGTAGTAAAACACTCTTAGACCCTCTGGATCCCTGAAATGTAAAAGAAAAAAAAAGATTCACCATTTAGAGTCAGAATCTTAGACACAATGTAAAATACAACAAGAGAAAGCCTCCTACAACTGATCCAAACTACAATTTATCAAAAGCATCTTTAGGCCTGGCTCTTAGTAGCTGGGAACAACCAAAATGAGGCAATTATACATTACTGTTTTTCAAAAGAGGGGAGGCAGCAAGAAATAATGAAATGACATGGCTGAGATCTACTCAACTGCTAGTAGATGAGAATTCAACTAAGAACAGCAAATCCAACACTCAATTTTCACTGCTGCAGCCCAAAAGGAGAGAGTAATGCAGCATATTAGGCAAGGCAACTAGGGCAAAGTTGTAGAGCTGCTGTCCTCATCAGTGTCTTAAACCCCTGCTTTCCTGCATGATTCTGTTAAGAACTCCTTTATGATCCCATGCTTGAAGTCCTGGCTTCAGAGTCTGTGTGATGGTTTTGTAGATAAGCGTAAGATCAGAACGATTACGCAATCATTTTAACATTGTCACATTCTGGCGAGCAAAACCTATTGAACAACATGTGAATTACTTCTGAGTTAACCTGCTTAGGACTGCTCCCTGTGATCCTTCCTACAATGGGTCATTAATAGGTTTTGGTTATAGGTTTCAGTTTGTAGTCTTGGAAACAAGCTTTCAAAACTCTTTAGAAAGAAGCTTAACTTAGCCAGTCCATTAAAATACCACTTACTTGGACTGATTTACATCAATGAGAGAACCAATTTTTGATGTGGTGAAGGATATGTGTTCATCACCGATTACAATCTCAAGCTCCTAGAAAAATAAGTTGAAGTCATGAAATAAAGCTGCTTTATCATATACTGCCTTAAATATCCAATGATAATATCCCTACCTTCCCTATAAGCAGGCTCAAGCCTAGAATAAGATGTATCATTCAAGAGGCTTGGATCTACTACCGCTTATTTACAAGATAATTAGTTTATAAATTAAGTGCTACACACACATACACAAACAAATATACACAGTTGATGTACAACAGTCTCAAAGTAAAGATATTTGTACTTAAATCAGGAAATGTGCTAACCTGCCGACCAACTCTGTCAGGTGGTGGCCATAGTGCATCATCTTCTTTCGTAATTTCACTGTCGTCAATTATCCGCTTCAGCTCTTCCATCACACTTTTGTGGACGTATGCCTATAAACATGTAAATATATGCATCAATTCTTTAGTAAGATAATCTATATACAAAGACAAAAACAGTATTATTTATCCACTATCTTTTCTTTTTACCCATTTGTGTCACTACCCACTGAAATGGCATATGGGAGGGATATATTGGGCATATATTGCCCTGACAAGAGAATCTTCAGACTCGGTACTGCATGCAACTTTTGGAGACCAGAGATAGACAATTTATGATACAAATTTCCCATATAAGTGTAATGTAGTAGAAAGTTCATTTCCTATCACACGGTTTTTAATGTGCACAGAGAAACCGCAACATGAAATATTACAAACTATAATATTTTTCAGTGACAGTTAAAATATTCTATGTTTTCTGCATTTAGGAATATTAGGAATTATATATATTTATATACAACTTTCCCAGTTATATATAATTCATACATCCAGTAATATGCCAAGGTTTGTACATGTGTTTTGTTTGGATTCAAGATTCACATATCTATAGACTATGGATAATGTTAGAGTTAACTTACCTCTTTTCTTATCATTACATCATTTTTATAATTGCTGTTGTTGGCGTATCTGAGTTTTCCTGTTGAAACATACAAATAACTAATTCAGGTATCATACAAAGCAAGATCTGGCTTCCTTTTAATGTGATCATCATCACTATTAACCTGGAATCAACTAAACCAGATCTATATTCACATATCAAGACTGGAAAAGGCGATAGAATAAGACGTTATTCCCTAACCAGAGAAAACCAAGTTATCATTTATTTCTTCACCTCTAAAAGGACTGTCTACTCCCTTACAAACCCACCTGACCAGTACAGTCATCTTCCTGCTTTGGGTGTCCCCATCTTCTGAGATTGGTGGTGGCATCATAACTCTGGAACTATTTTCTCAGGAAGACTCATCTGTCCCCTTTGGTTGGATGAAGTCTGTTTTGCTTTGTCTGGCATTCCCTCAGTGATCCCTCCTTCCTGTGTTTCAATTGTTGTTTGTATGGTTGTGTACACATGTTTTAGTTTTGTCTTTAATGTTTTGAAGATGTATACTATAATGCTTATTTTAGTCATCAGCTGCCTTGGTGGCCCTGCTCAGGGCAGGAAGGCATGATATAAGACTTGTACATAAATAATAAATAAAACGCCTCTCTCCTTGGGCATTACAGTCATGAAGTTCTTGTTCCTCTACCACCTGGGTGCAGTGATGTGTGTCTGGAGCAGGAAATCAGTAGAAATTGCCAATTTAGCCTGGTTCCAACAGTCTATGTTAGCCTCTCCAGGAGATGCCCATTTCCGTAGTCCTTTATCTTGCTTACAAAGACACTATGATCCAGGTTAAGGGAAACATTTTGGATAGGGCAGGCTCTTCAGGCAGCCAACTACCTGCCACTTCCACAGTAGGGTTCCTTCTTTTCTCATGACTTCTGCTTGTCTGCTTAGCTGCTTTCACCCTCCCCCCTTTACTGCACTCTTCTGTGAATTGAGCCATTGCCAGTAAGGGCCAAGCAGGTTTTCTTGCAATTGCCTTTACCCTACTAGGGTTTTCTTGTGACATCCTGGCTCAGTCCGACACCATTCATCATCCAGCCTTAGGCTTCCTCCATGCTGTTCCTCCCTTCTCCTGTGGCAAGCTA